GTTCACTGCAATGGTCAGTGGGATGGTGCCTGTTAGGCAGGCTATGAGCCAAGGGTGAAATGGCAGCACTTGGTGTAAATCATCTTCAGAGAACACTCGTCTCTGTCATGCACAAGGAGTATGTTTGCTAGGGGATATGGACCTAAACTGTAAACAGTGCAGTCTAGGCCGTTCAGATATCAATTATTCAAAGCTCCATACCTGGAATATCCTATGTAGTTCTCAGCTCCTACAACAACTTGCCACTCTCCATCTTTCTTTCTTTCATCTGTTTATTGATAAATTTAATATCCTGGGCCACTGAGGAAACTAGATTCTAGGAAAGGCTGCCATGATAAAAAAAAAAAAAAATCTAGAAGATCCCAAGAGAACATCACAAGTTTGAGCTGCTGCTGAGCAGGAGGAAACTTAAAATTGTCTGACATGACCTTTCTACTGCCATTGCAGAGGATGGATGAATGTGGTCAAGTAGTCAGAATAGCAAAGAATGAATCGGAGGGATTTATTCAAAGAATGAATAAATCCTTTTATCCAGACATTGCCTAGATCTGCAATTTATTATGGACAAACCCCTAACTGCTTTTGCAACTTGTCTCCATATTTACCCAAGTATATGGACAGAGCTGCTTCATCAACCCAGGCTTCTTCCACATCCTCTGGAAAGAAAGGAGATGGATGATTCAGGACCACACATAGCTGCTCAGTCTCACTGGGATTCAGCTGCCTCACTGGTACCAACTGCCTAAGGATATCTGGGCACTCGTTGAGTATGGAACTGAAAGTTCATTATTGACAATAAAAGTTTTAGAATGAATCAAAAGGTGAATCAAAAGTACCATCAGCCACATTCCACAACCCACTGGAATTGGTGGGAGAATCTGTTAGCTACCCTGTCTGTAACTGCCTTGATACAAAGGCAATTGTAACTATACCTGAGACAAAGGTATGCTTACATCACTGCTATTGTCCACTATATTCAGATTAATAAATGTTCACAGCAATGAACTAGAATTGACAAGCTCCTCTTACCATGAGCACTTTGTGAGCCAGGACAGTAATTCCTTCATCTCATCTCATCTGCAGTCTTGCCCTGAAGGTTTCTGCTCTTTTCTGCAAGGTCCTTTGATTGTCCCACAGAAGCAAATTCCCAGATGAATTCTAAGGGGGCTGATCCTGTTTGAAAATGTCAGTTTAAAACTCCTGTCTCACTTCACCATTCTTGGCAAGGGCTCAGACATGAACCACATGTCTGGTGGAGGAATTTGGCCCACAGATTGTTTTAATTACAACCTTGTCTGCTGATATTAAATGGAGCTTCACTGGCATTAGAATGCTGCAGAAGTAATTAATCCTAAATTAAATTATTTCCTATGTAATTCATAAGCCTTACTTCGTTTAACTGGAAGAATTCCATGTGTTAAAACAACAACTACTTTAACATTCAAAGCTGAAAAAATGCCAGAAGAGAGAGAACTCCTCATATTGTATTTGTGAGGATAATATTGAAGTGGGAAAAGAAAAGCTGTTGAGATACTTTATTAGCAACTAGGCTAATTCCAGCTAGACCCAGTGGGACTATTCTTAAAAAGTTAGGAATTCAGTATCTTTGTAGGCATATGAGAGAAGAATCTGGCCTGGAAACAGTATCTGAAAGGATGCGAAATAGCAAACACTAATAAAATTTAATATTCACTTAAATCTAAAGGATGTGAAATCTATTCACTTTTCTTAAGTAGCAGAAATGACTGCAAATCCTCTTGTTGAAAATCCATTACTTGAACTCTTGAATTACTTGAATTTTACTGGCTAATGAAGCAATTAATTCATCTGTCCAAACTGCTATTACTTTACTTTATACCTACTGGTACTTTTGCTGCACAGGCAATAAAAAATAAATCAAAAGGAGAGTCATGCACCCATTTCCCCATGCTCACACTATCTGCTGATGAGAGCTTCAACTACTTATATTTCATCTTATATATTGTGAACTTCAAGGCAATTATTTTACAGCTATTCTAAATCCAAAACACAAACCATCCTCTTTTAGAATCATATACAAGCAAGTTTTTCCCTAATTATCAATCTCACTGTTTGCAGACTCATGCTTTTAACTACAGGAATAAATGAGAGTATTTCCTGTCCCCAAAATATCAGTATCTAAAGAGATGCTTTAAATCAGTCCTGTTCAGGAATGAGGGATCTAGTATCTAAGAAAACCAACAGGCTAAAGGAGATGAGAGAGTTAATACTTATATTTACACAAAGACGTAGTTTACTTTCAAAACAGTAAAGTATATAACAGCACATGCCTAACTACTGTAGGTATATTTTTAAATATCCTTCACTCAGATTAAACTCTGTTAAAGTGTGCATAGACCAAGGCATTAGAAAAATTAAAAAGACTTCTTATTTTATAATTTTTGTAAAAACAATCTTGAAAATTTTACAGTGTCTAAATTTACAAAGTCCTGTCACTTTTTCATCAGTACTTATGTGAACGGATTCATCGCTGCTGCATGCATGAACTGCATGATGCAGATCACTGGGTGACCTGCAGTTCAGTCAATGCTGCTGTTCATCAGTTAAAATTCTGGGGCTTATTTCCATTCTTACACAAGAAAAATATATAAAAGTCAAAATTAAGGCCAATTATAAAAAGAACATCTTGTCTCCCAGCTCTAGTAACTGTAGGACACTTTCCATACAGAGGACCTTTTATCTGGATTTTCTTACTTAACTTGGAGAAACTAACATCAGATTTTATTAGGATACTTTAATTCTCAATACTTTTAGCCTGTGAAAATGAAGTATACACAGTATTAGTCTCTTTGTCCTTCTGCTCATATCCACTCTATGGATAGAGCAGAAGACAATCACCCTGGAACACGGCTGCTCCTATCATTCTCTTGTCAGGGGATGAAAAATTTCTGAGGTGGCACTACTAAAAAAGTAGCCTATGACAGAGTAATTGGATCCTGCACAGACAAAGGTTTTTTGTGATCAAAGCAAAAAATAAAACAGCCACCATCTCCAAGCCACCCACCACAGAACTTTGATGTCTCTATAATAATTTCACTGAAAGTATAAGCAATTAAAAAATTTCTTGCAATATATCTCTATATTAAACTGATAAAGGATAGAAAGGATTGCCTTGCAAGTAATACTCATACCACTCTTCATTAGAGCTGTTTTGATCAAAGTTTTTTTTTCACTTGAACTGTATCTTGCATCCTGTTCTTTTTCTTGCCCAAGAAAGAGTTTGGAGTTTCAAAATCTCCATCACCGAATCAGCCTGTTGAACCCACTGAAGAATAGGACAATACTGCCATTTTTCTTGACAACACTATCATTTTATACATGCCTGATTTGTACCTTCAGTTCATCAGATTATAAAATGAGTTATGAAGAAGAGTAGACCAGACACATTCTTGCTATGAAAAAAATTTCCAGCGTGTTTCAAGATTTCAGCAAGTTGTAGTCTTGAATATCAAGCTGCCTGCATTTGGCCGCAAGTTTATTTTTTTTTTTCTCCTAACTCTGTTGAGGCACTCGTAAGTTGCTCTCCTTATATGGGAGAGAAGAAGATTGTAATAAACATACAAAAGAGCACAATGTACCTACTTGATTTGATTGTTTGTTTGTCAAAATAACTAGTCAAATATCAATGCAGCTACAACATATACCTAAAACAAGACTTCACACAAAGAAGGGGTGAGTGTATAAAGTCTTACAGACGTACCTAAATCAGTAATAATTTTCCTCTCCTCCTGCCTTTCAGAGGAGATGCAAACTGTTAAGCATCACTGAGACTTATTATTGTGTTCCAGCATCCTTCTCCCTCTGGCTGGTCTGTACAACGATAATGTGTGAAATAGCCCGTGCACTGAAATTATTACCAGCCACTCATCATGAGCCCCAGGAGATGCAACCACTCCAGTGAGCTATCACAATATCCCCTGGTCTCATACATGCTGCTGCCTAGCAGCTGAAGACCTGCACACCATCTTCATCACTCAGGCCAACAGACACATCCTCCTCTACCTCCTCGTCAAGCTGCAGGCTTCCAAAGGAGTACTTATTTCTAGGCAAGGGAGAGGAGCTCAGCACAACGGGGTTTCCAAACACCAGGGGGTGAGTGAAGGGGTTAATGACCTCTGAGTCGGAATCGCTAGACTCCGTCCCGCTGCTGGTGGAGCCCTCCATCATCTGGATTGCAGCCATGTGATCCATCATGCCGCTGGCACGCAGCGACTGCATCACCGGGCTCTGCTTGGGCTGTGCCCCTGCTGGCATGCCATTGGCCAACAGTTTACCTTCTGGAGAAGACATCTTAGCCACCCCACCTCCTTTGCAGTATCTCTCTGATTTATACTCCTGCCCAGGGGTTGAGGATATCTGGCTTAGGATAAATGGATCTGTAACTGACTTATTGCAGAGATTATGGGTTTTCTGCGCACGAGGCCGCTGAGAACCTGGAGAATATCTGCAATACCCATGGCAGTTAGTGGCATGGCTGTCCTCCTCCCCAGTCCTCGCCCTGCAGTCGTGCCCATTCTCTGAGACATAACCCTGAGAGCCAGTTCTACTCAGGCTCATCTTGGGGCTTGACTCCTTGCTACTGGGAGGCAATGGAGTGGCCAGCGGACTGCGGCTTCCCGGCCCTCTAAACATTTCATCAACCAGAGAGCTATGCCTTGGCATCCTGGGGCTTCCCCCAGTGTAGAAGGAGAGATTAGCTGTGTTATCATCAAGGTACTCTTCAGAGAGATACTGGGAAGACTTTAGAGAAGCTGAGGAATCCCTATATCTAGTTCTATTGCGATTTTCATCTCTGTAGTGAATATAGGCACCACTGGTCAAATCACCCTCATAATTGTCATTTGTTTGGGAATATGACCGGGTTATTTGTCCTCTGAGGAGATCATACTCGCTATCTACATCACTGCAGTCAATGAAAGGAATGGAGGTGCTGCTGCCATGAGCAGCCCTGGAAGCTGGACCTGTGCTTGGCTGCTGTGATTGAGGTCTGTTCTGCTGCATCCTATCCTTAGCAGGCTCCTCTTCTTCCTCCACTGTTGAGACCACTGCTCCATCCATCTTTCTGCCTTCCTTTGGGCTCTTCTTCAAGGAAGGGCTCTTGTGCTGTCCAGTGTCTTCTGCTGAAGATTTCACCTCCTTCCCTTGCCGGCAGCTCTGCACTGCTGCAGCATCATTGTTGTCTCCATAGGCTCTAGCACTCTGGAAAGATAACAGAGGGAAGGCAAGGGGGAGACAAGGGAAAGACAAAAGGGGAGGGAGGGTGGGAGGGGAGAGGTTTGGGAGGGATGGGAGCCAGGAGGAAAAGGCTGCATGTAATTACATGCCAGAAATTTGCATCTGCAGCAATATAGGAGTCTCTTGGAAAAAAAAAAAAAAAAGAGGTAACCCAAGCCCCAAAACTAATTAGAATTTAAAAAAAGAGGTTTCTGATCTTGAAGAACAGGAAAAAACAGAGGCTAAACAAGGGAAGAGAAGGCAGACTATGCAGTGATAATGTAAAAAGGGGTATTTGAGGCGTTTCCATGCTCTAAGGCAGCCACTAACACTCTAAAAACATCAACCTGTTCACACTACTCTGAGAAGTTGCAGGAAAAGATAAAAACGTAAGAGAAATTCTGCACAGCACACAAAAAAAGTCATGTGTGGGCTTTTGAGCACCCTACATTCACTCCCTGGAGCACACCTGCCACTGGTTTATAGGCTGCCTTTTCTGCACACATGTGCCCAGCAGCCATGCTTCCATCTACCTGAGCTTGTCTCAGCAACATTAGAATGCTACAAGCTATTTGAAATGGGCTCCGTCTACAACAAAATTCTCTTAAGCTCCTAAATTTGCAGAAAGGAGAGAGCCTGTGAATATCAAAAGGCATGGAAGGCAAAGGTTTAGATAGCATTCTTAAATGCATTAACCTAGTAGCTTGCTCATGACTTTTTAAGCTCTACCTAACACAAGGTTATGTGATCAAAGGTTCACCTCCACAGACACAGATGAGCACAGAAAACACTGGCAAGTGGAGAAACCACAGCAACTGAGTCAGGAAAACGAAGCTTCCTGACCTCTGTCTCCTCTGAAGGTTGGCCCTGGAGGGCCATCAGCCCATATGTTTGGGATGCCAGCAACTGGAGAAACCAGAGCCAAAGAGTTGGAAGAGTGTGAGGCCACTGGTACTGTCTGTGCCTGCGGGAGTGCAGTTTTCTGCATTTGCATGTGTGGCTGTGTGTTCACATACTTTATGTGTGCTTTCATGTGTGTGCCTATGGTGAATACATGCTCAGCCTAAATACCAGCTGGACCTGGGAGCTTGCAGCTGCTGTAGCCTCACCACTATTGGGCTTTTGGACTTGTGAACTCCTAGCACATAGCAGCTGCCAGCATAAGATAAATACATGCAGTATCTACCAGAGATAATGGCTCAGAAGGCCAGAAGTGCAATTTTTCTGAGGAAATAATTGCTCTCCTCCCCGGTTAATACCTGGTTAATACTAACCTAACACCTTGAAACAGGCAACCAAGACCTCTCAGCAAAGAAAAGTAATTACACTTTCCCCAGATGCAATAGCCAGCTACAACCACGGACCCTGGCAGCAACACTGAGCGTTGCAATTTTTCAGATGGTCATTAGTACAGCTCAGACAAGCTCACTGTTCATATCTGTCTGGTTGTCAGTAAGCAGTGCTGTTTCACACAGCAGAACCTAAAGCTTATGACACCCAGGGCTCCTTAGCTCCCAGTTAAATGGTAAGTGAGCAGAAAACTATGCTCCTAGGGTTTCAAAACAGCAATCAGTGGAGGGTAATCTAACAAGGAATGTTTAAAAGGATTTCATTTCCAGGGTTTCATCAACATCACTGACTTGTTTTGGCACCTCTGTATGCTGTTCTGAAGGCTGTGCAGTCAGACTCCTGATGGAATGAATCTTGCTGTGTTTCCTGGAGATAAAAGGAAAATCACATAAAGAGCTGTTTCAGGGGTTTTTTTTTCTACAAACAGGAATCAAGAGATATGCCTCTTTTAAAACAAAACCTTTGAATAACAGCTTTCATAAAATTTTGCTCCAAAACAGATTAACATTTCTCCTTTCTGTAAAATTTTAATGTGTTATGTGTTGCAAATGTACCACTCTAAGAAAAGGGAAAAGCACTGAAGCAAAAATGGTCCATCAGGTAAGCATGAATCATAAGCAATGAACTATTGTATGGTCTTTGTGGCATTTTGGCCATTACTTTCAGCTCACCATGAGCATGATGAGTTCAGACAGAACTGGCTCTAGCAAGCTAGAAGACTTCCAGTATCCCTGGAGACCTCTCTCTTGAGCTTGGCTGAACTTTTTCTTACTTCCAGTTTTATTCTTGAGCTGAATATGTCTGTTCACATACATTAACCACATCCCAGCAAAGAAGGTGCAAATCAAATTGGGAGAAACTTACCTGTGATGTAAGGATGTTCACTGCTGAAAAACAGATTGAAGACTACTGATTTTAATTGAATTCTAAGTTATGAAATATCTGCCAAAACATTCACCGGATATTACACGTGATAAACTGTCAAACCAGTACAGAAGGAATTTTTTCCCTGGACAGAAGCCAAGATCTCAGACTATAACTAACTGGAAATCATGACTTTTCTTAGATTATAACATATTGAGATAATAAATTTATTTCCTCTCACCTTTCAAACTGCACTTTTTTGTGCCCTCCTTCCTTAACGTAGTCAAGAACTTGCTTCTGAGTCCGACCACTGGAAGGAAACCAGAGTTAAAGTATTTAATACAATATACTACCTGGTCATCATAAACTTGTATATAAAGTCACATATATAAAGGCTTGCATATAAAGTCACAGCAACCAGAAAAGTATTTGTCACTATCAGCAGAAACTCATGTTAAGATCATACAGAAGGAGACTTGGTCAGATACACACAGATTTTTAGCATTTTACATTACTTGACTCTTTTTTTTTTGCTAAGGAGCTACTTTTTGATGCCATTTCTGAACTGCTTAAATTCAGTTGTGTGGGCCCTATAGGGTACTATATTACTGGGAAGTCACTACTAATACTGGTAAACCCTGGAACCAAGATGAAACCCCCTAACATGCACTTCATTCCTTCGTTGCTACTATAAATAAAGCACACCTTTTCTGCAGAGATTTAGGCTGGAAATCCCTGTCTGTCCTTCTGCTACAGGGTTGTGAAGTAGTGAGAAAGCCCAGCACCGTCTGTTGTGCAAAGCTATAAACTCCAAAGCAAACTGAAAGCAGAACAGGAAACCCACACCTCAAGAATGCTCAACTGAGAGCCAAATTCTTCCAATTCATTAGAGGCTTTCAGGGCCTGGAAAAGGTTACTCAGTGTAGTAACACAGCTCACAGTGAGTCGAGGATGAAGCCAAAACCTGCTTTCCAAAGCCTGAGATAAGTTGAATGCACCTACGGTTTTCTAACTACTTCAGGCAAAAACTTAGCAAGTTAGAGCTTGTTTATGCAACATAGGTCCTTTCATCTTAATTTACTTTGCAGGCAGCAAACAAAGTGAGAAGAGAGTCAGAATGGCTATATATACACTAGGTTCTTGTGCAAGGCATCTAGAGTGCATCATTCATCTCAGCAAAGAGCATTTCTGGCTGTACAGCCCGTATCAGCTTCACAAACAAAATAAACTTTATGAATAAAAGGATTTCCCCCCTGGCATACACAATGCAATACCTACAATGGTGCTTCTGCCAGTGTAATGAAAAAGAAAAAAAGCCAAAACAGTAACCCAACTATTAAAATCTTTCTAAAAGGTCTAACAGTATCACATGTATACGTGGTCTTAGCAGAGGTGGTCATCTCACATAAATCCTCTGTGAGCATAAAGTTCCCTGCATAAAGCCATAAAACTTTTAACTGCATAATATGGGTTTATCACAGGGATGTGCAACAAAAATACAAATCTCTACTCTGATACATAGGAAAGACCCCATCCTAGGAGCAGAGGATTCAAAGAACTCCCAAAAATTGCTAGCTAGTGTTGCTTAGAACACATGTGAATTTTCTTGTGCAAAACCAGCTGGACACTATATAATTTATATCTTACCTCCAGAAAGCTACTCTGCAACAAAATTAATGCAGGGTTTTCCCCTACAGTGTTCTTTGCACTATTCTGGCTGAGAAGATGCAATGGAAAATATAAGGGAACAAACAATAATTTAAAAAAGGTGAGCTGAAAATAACAGGTTTAATCCTAGACCACCATGGATGTGATTTGGAAATGGAGAGGCAATAAAGATGGAAAGAATGCACATCTTACCTGAACCTAAATGAAGAACCTCTAGAAAAAAGGACAGGTTTAGGCTTTGGTTTAGGTTCCTCAAAAAGCCTGAAAAAGGCATGATGCTCCACACAGATCTTCCAGAAGGACTTGCAAAAATCTCGACTGGCCATAAGGAATTCCAGGGTGTCCTGGAATGAACTCTGAAAATTGGGATAGCATTTGCAATATAAGCTGGTAAGCAACACAGATTAGAGAAATGCATTGACAAATCAGGTACTACACTAAGAAAAAAACCCAAAAACAACCCAGAAGCCTCTTCCCATCTTACTGGCTTTCAGGCTTCCTACCCTTCTAACATTGAGACATCACTGGACTGCCTGTCAGTAACAAAGCTATTGCTCAAACTTCCTTTCATTGACAAATATGACAGAGATAAAGCAGTGGTTTGAATGCTAATGAGAAGAAGTTGATTATGTGCTATACCTTAAGAACTGATGATACAGGGCCAGAGTTTCAATGAGAAAATGACTCTGGAACATTCTATTATGATTGATTCAGTTTACATGTCCTTTGCCAGGACTGCTCACCTGATATTCCAGGGTGATGTGCACAGTACCAACACTGAACAGAAGCAATTAAAATATTCAGGAGGTGATAAAAACCACGTGTGATCTCTGAGTAGAAATTCACCAAATAACCTTTTGTCAACTTCATCAGCTCCTAACAAGGACTTACATTCACATCAGGCCGTAGTTTGATAAGAAAACGTTTCCTCTTGAAGCTCAGCTTTCGAACCTTAGCCCAGTTGAAGGCATTGATCTTGGTGTGACCCTACAGAGAACAAACCAGCTGGGTTTGATCATTCCAGATACAAATGGAAAAAATCTAAACCACTAAAGAAGCTTGTCATAAATTAATCATCTGTTCACTTAATTTGAAATGACGATATTTCTTATAACTCATCCTCTGATAATGCAAACCATAAACATCTGGTGCAATGACTGAAGGCAGGCACTTATTGTTAAACTCTTGTAATACAGGACTAGTTACTGTGAAAATATTCAACCCAGTATCACTGCACAAGACAGGGTGGAGCAGATTTTCTGTGGACTAAATCACTTTCCAAAGGTGTCTCATTCTATTTCCACCAATGACAGAGAATGCAGGGAATCCAGACACTTGTCACCTCACTTCCATGAGGTAGATTTCCTCCCTCTTTTTATGTCTGCAGGGCAAAATAAATATCCTTTTTAAATATTGCTCAACTGTGGAAAAAACAAGCAACTGCAGGTTTTGTATTGGAAGTACAAAATACTGTGTGTATTTTGACCTTTCATAAGGAGCACCAGAAGCAAAAGCAATCTAAACGAATTATTTGTCTCAAAGATCCACAAATTTATTTTCTTGGAAAAAGCAACCAATACCATAAGCAAACAGCAAGAAGGAAATTATCCACATAATACTCCAACTCCCAGCCACTACATTATTAGCCTCTGCCCTCCAGAAGTTTCATTCTTCATCTATGTCAGCACGCATTGGAGGTGTTATGTTAAAATATTCACTACAGCAGTCTGTTCAATGAAGACTTCAATACAAACATTCCTAGAGCACAGCACAGAAGTTTCAGGGAACTGCTACAGGATTGCCAAATGCAGAAACCCACGTTGATTTGGGCACCATCACCAGACAGCTGTAGGAGTAATGACAGTGTAATGATCTCTGCTAAGTCAACCAGCTGTCTAAGAATAACATAATTAATCTCCTTAAAATAATCAGCAGCACTGACACTGATTTCTAAATAAATGACAGACTTTAACGTAAGTCTGACTACAGCTTATGCCATTTGTGAGTGAGCCTTTATTTTCATTGGGGTCATTCTAATGAGATCCTCATATTTCAATTTCCATCAGTTAGAACCATAATCAAAATAAGAACTTAGCTCTTGACCTATGAAGTGGTTGAAGGAAGCCCTAAGCCTACTGACAGACGCCAATTGCTAGGCAAACTCCAGCAGGTCAGAGCCCGACTTCCTTTTCAGCATTCAGCCTTAGAGCTTTACCCAGTAAAATTTCCAAGCTTTTCAGAAACTTTGAGAACAAAACAAAACTGTTTTGAAAGTCTCAAACACATTAGGTCAAGAAGACATGACTTCAGACCTTGACAAATCAAGCCTTGGGCCATCAACCTGCAGCTACACTTTAAAGAAGGATCTCAGCTGCCTGCTGAGACTCTGAGGTCTGTGCTGCTTTCTGTGGATGCACACTTTCACCTTGAAGACAATCTTAATTTACAAGGCTTGGCAATTCATTAATTCAGCTGATGAAAATGCTGTGGGGGAGCAGGAGAAGAGCCTGAACATACAATTGCTTGAGTTATGTGCATCCCTAACAATGTCCTAGTGTTCTCATGTCTCAACCTATGCTTCAGTTTTGGGGTTCTACTACCAACTCATTTAATTGATCTTTTTAATTTGCTGCCTCTTTTTGGCTGTTTGTTTGGTTAAATATTTTTAAATCTTATCTCAGAGCATTTGGGTCAGACACTTCTGGGCTTGTTTGTTGCTGTTACTTTTCTTTATGAAAGGACTCAGAGTACTTTGTACTGGAAACACTAGTATTTTAATTACAGTCAAACAGTTAAAATGAATAGTCTTTTTTGACAATTGCAAAAAGGGACATTCTAAAAAATAGCTTACCTGTTTTTAGCACAGAGTCAGGTAAGCAACTAAAGTGAAAGCAGCTGACACCAGCTGACAACCTGTAGCTTCACAATTGTAAAAGCCAAATTTGTTATTTACATAAGGGGAACTGCAGAATGAGAATTTGACAAATTTACTAATGATGCTTCATGAATATTTATACTACTGACTGGAGTAGGAAAAGAGAGGAAGGAAATAGAAGGAAAACAGTTTGGATCTTTAAGGGAAAGAAATAAGATCCATGGATTCAGCAAAGATACAATGGCCAAAGTTGATCAAGAAAATGGTAAAAACTTGAACGAAGTAATACTACAGAGAGCTTATATCTACTGCCTTCATCCTCCTGCATGGACTCCAGCTGTCTGTTGTTTTACTTGTCTCTGCTTCTCACCCACTTAATATGCACCATGCCTGCAAGACCTACCTGCTCCTACATGTAGGAGAAGTCAGCATGCAACCTGCAAAGCCTGAGCCAAGGCTCAGTTTGCACCTTGAACAGCACACTGCAGATGCAGATGGAGTTCTACAGTGTGTATTCACGTAAGGTAGGAGTCCCTGGAAGTGAAGGACCTAATGCAGTTATAACAGGTTTAAGATCATACTTAGAAAAGTTTTGGAAGTTTGTGCATTTTCCCAACTGAATACTAGTAGACATGGATGACTTCCTGAATTCTGACTGCTGTCAGAAATCTTTGTGCCTTTTGAAGTACAAAATCAAGTCCCAAGCAGCTCTAACCTGAAACACCAGAATGCCTGTGTTGGCAACAGCCAGGTTGATTTTTGTCCCCTCCCTGTCCTTGGCTGGATGCAAGCGTATCCCGTACATCTCCAGCCGACGGGCAATCTCCAAAAGCTGGAAGTCAGACTCTGCTGGTGTCTGTCCCCTGAGAAAGAAAACACAGAACACTCACAAGCTTGTCACACCTTTTAATAGAGATCAAGAAGTCCTCCAGAGAACAGAGACATTTGATCAAAGAGAGTGAAAACTGTCAGAGGTATAATATCTGTATGGTTTTTCTACATCCCCAGACTTGTATCAACTACAACAACAACTTACTCTAAAGAAATATGAAAGAATACACAGATTTTACAGCCTATTAGAAATTTTGATTGCTCCAATTCTGAGACACCTGTTAAAGCTGGATTTTAAATCATTAGCTCTAACAGAATTTACTACCTCCCTTTGTTTTTTCCACTGGAAAACATGCCATATTCCTAAAAAAAATTATGAATGGAAGCATGTAATGATGCAATTCATTGTAAAAGTGAATGTAAGTGAATGTAAGTGAAGTAAAACAGAAGGCATGAAAACCTCACCGTAAGTGTTGTGAAGCCATAAGCACCACCATCATTAATTGTGATGAAATTATGCAAAGATTTGATTATTACTACCATAAAAATGACTACCATTCATCTATTATTCAACCTGGCTCAAAAATGAAACTGTTCACATCTTGAAGTGTTCTTGACAGCTGCAAAATACTTTTTAATGCCTTATTGGTACTTCTGTTCACCAGCTTCTGAGTACAGGTCTTTTCTCCAGACATTAGGATACCAATTTGCATCATCATCTTGAATTCTGTTCCCCCAAATCTGTAATTCTGCAAGTACTCTGTGCTTTTCCCAAAACTATCACTAACTTCTTCAACCTATCTCAAAATACAGCGTGGAAAGGTTGAAAGGCAACATCAGTGTCCTTGAAACCAAAGGACTACTGTCAGAAGTGCCTGACTGATGAATCATGATTTGCAATCATACCTGCATGCACAAAATCAGCAGTAAAGCATTTTGTATGAAATAGACTGTAAAATAACAGCATGCTTGAATGAGTATCAAATCAATTGCGCTTTAAACATCTTGTTATGATGATGGGAAAAAGGCAGAAGTAACCTTCAGAAAGTTCATAGGCTTTAACAGCTTTTGAGAAGCAACCTTTGAGAAATTCAGATGTCCAAAGCTCTTCTGTACTTCAGATCTAGCACATACTTACCATTAGAACTACTCTACAGGAAAAGAAGGCAAATAACAAGAACAAAAAAGTCTTACATGTGGTTACGGTGAAATTCCATGATTTTGTCTTCTAGTGCTTCTTGATGAGGTATATACTTGTTCTTTGCTAAGTGTTCACGATCTATGGTTTCATCAAAATCCCCAATCTCAGCTGTGAAGAATTTTAAGAGGAGTCTATTAAAACACTATATTACATCTGAATAATCTGGTCAATCCAAAAGACCCGGACAGCTGAGAAGAGGGCAGAGAAGCAAACATAGCTCCTTGCAACCTGTGTCATGGTTTCATGATTCAGATTCCCACTACATTATCTTTCATAGATTACTCTCTTCTCCTCTGTGTTAGTATTTGATACATGAGAAGAAGCCCCAAGATTTCTCCCATCCACCACGACTAAGTTGTTGGATGTCAGCTGAAGAGATGAAGCCATCAGTGCTGCCTTGACCTGTGTGTGGGATAAGGGCAGGGATAACAGGGAGGGCAGCACTAATTGAGCAGAACTCATCCATCTCTCTCACACTCTCTCATGCTGCTCAGGTGCCTCTCCATGGAGCAGCCAGGCGCTGGGTTCCTCTCCAGGCCCATGTCCTGCACAGTAACCCTTGAGAGAAAGTCAGAAAGATGGTTCTGTTTGCTTGTTTGAACAGTAGCTTGTAATCCACCTCATGGGATTATGAAACCTTTGTCTTCATCTAATTCTGCAGCAGTTTGAGACACATTCTGTCTCCCTCCTCCTCAAAGTTGCTCCCATCTGCTGCAGTTATTCAACACTGTGTGTGCAACAGTATGGCACACCCACCTTCCATTTTGCAGCCCATTCAGTGAAATTTCCTTTTTTTGGCAGGTGTGGGGGTGAGGGGCAGGCAATCTATCTGTGGGTGCCAAATTACTATCTTATTGCCTGCTATTCTTGGAATATCTCTGAAAAATCTTGCTATTAGTTTTTTCACTGAACAAGCTGAGCAGCTTCTGCCTGCAAACCTGATGGAGTAATAGCAACGTCGCTGCAACAAAGGCTGCTACCTTGGTAACGTCAGGGAAATTAAAATACAGTGCCCTCAAATTAAATGCAGGTTGCAGTCAGACACGTTATTGCATGCTTGACCCAGGGTAGGACAGACCCACGCTCAGACAGACACCCCTGCTTCATCCTCGCCTCAGCTGCGCCCATGCAAATGAACCCCTGATCCACTGCTGGTCAAACTAAGTCTGCTCAGAAAAAGGAAAGGTTTCAGATCACATTCAAAACACTGTATTTCTGAAAAACTGGGATCAGATGTACCTTAAATGCACAGGGGAAACAGCAGCCTAGTGCTGGCAGTGAAAATGAAGAACCAAAGCATCTGTGAATGACAGAGCAGTAGCTTTTTTGACCCAAACTGCCTGCAGACACATGATGACATTTTTTACTTTGAAGGTCAGAGGTGGAAAAGAGTTAAAAACTAAGACTTTCTGATTCATACCCTCTCATTTACCCGCTTGGCTCTCAATCATTCCTTAAAATGGTAGAAATACTACATAACCTTTGAGAATTTCCCTTTTTAAAATTGTCCTGTTTGTCCCCATCTCAGAAACAGCTCTCTGCTTCCAGTTTTACTCCTCTCAGACTCAAAAATCTTCAAGGTCTGTTTTCAATCCTATCTCAAATAAATGGCAAGTTTCTGTTCTTTAATGAAGCCTTAAAGCCACCTAAGTTTTCAACACCTCAAATAACATGGGCCTGGATTCTTCAAAATGCAGCTCAAAATCCCTGTCTGTGTACACAGATGAGCTTAGCACACCTCCTGTAGGGCTTTCTTCAGAGACAACAGAACAGAAGACACTTTCTTCACCTCTGTATGATTTCTAAAATGTTCTCAGCATTTTTCAACTGCTAGTCCATTATCAAAATTGTCTTCCTGGCTTTCAAATTACTTCTGAATTTGTTCTCTCTGACCTGCGACTCAACAAGCTTTTACTTCCCACCTTACCCTCATTTTCCACCTTAAATTACTGTCTAGTAGCACTCCATTGAGAATGAGAGGGAGTTATATTGTAAATATTGTCAGCCTCACATGTAACTATTCTTTAAAATCTTATCCTGTGATTTAGCCAAAGACTTCTTTACACTGCTGATGGTTTTTCTCACACCTTGCAAGTGCATTACACCATGCTGTATTCTCTCTGCATTAGCACTTCTGATACATCTACTGCTTTGTATTTCAGCTCCTTTCCTCTTATGACAGAATTATAGAATTGCTTCCTTTGGAAAAGACCTCTAAGATCATCAAGTGCAGCTGCTAACCCAGCCCTGCTAAGTCCACCAGTAACCATGTCCCTGAGTGCCACATCAACACATCTTTTAAATACCTCCAGGGATGGTGACTCAACCACTTCCTGGGGAAGCCGATTCCAATGCTTGGATTTCTTATTTCCACAAAGAAATTTTTCCTAGTGTCCAGTCTAAACCTTCCCTGGTACAACTTCAGGCTGTTTCCTCTTGTGCTGTCACTTGTTACCTGGGAGAAGAGGCTGATCTCCACCTGGCTACCATCTCCTGTCAGACAATTGTAGAGAACCCTAAGGCCCCCCAACCTTCCTTTTCTCCAGGCTAAACAACCTCAGCTCCCTCAGCTGCTCCTAGTAAGACCTTTGCTCCAGAACCTTCCCCAGCCTCCTTGCCCTTCTCTGGACACACTCTAGCACCTGAGTGTCTTTCTGAGGGACACAAAACTGGACACAGGATTTGAGCAGTGGCCTCACTCCACAAGCAGTGCTGAGTACAGGGGGACAGACAATCACAACCCTGGTCCTGCTGGCCACAACTATTCTTGACACAGGCCAGGATGACACTGGCTTTCTTGGCCACCTGGGCACACTCTGGTTCATGGTCAGTCCACGCTTCACACACTCACCGTAGTGAACTCACGTTCATCCTCTGCAGCATCCAAGCGTCCTCTCACTTCTAACACTTCTTACAACGCTTTTAAGGTAGTTTTAAATTGAACGTTTGAAATAAAAATTTCATTCTGTAATATACATGCTAATTTAGCAGAAATCTATTTGCTGTCATATTGTGATTTTATGATAAGTAACAGTCTATAACATTGACATAAGCTTGCATACGTAATATACAGGCCTCCTGGAATCAGATATTCCCCATGGAAACCACTCATTGGCACAGCATTAGTAAGACATACAGTAACTAACCAGCATTCTCAATCTTTCCCTTTTGATACCATTACTCTTATCTGTTTACTCTGATTTTTATTGCAGACAAATACATAATATTTCTTTTGCTATTTAAAAATAACCTAGAGACAAAATAAATAAAGACAGTCATGCAGGTAAGATACAGCTATAGACCCATACCAGAGAAAATTGTCACTGAAAAACGTTCATGAGACACAAGATGGACAAATGTCAATTGCAAACTTCTAGCAGAGGTTTGTAGCAAACATGACCATAAAGCAACACCTCAGATGAAGAGAGACGCATGCATTAGGGTGTCCACTCCTCAAAACCTTTCTTGGTGCACAGACATTTAGTAGGAAACAGCCTCCTAGAACGCAGTTTAGCAAATGAGACTCAATTTCCTCAAATGATCAAGATTTTTTTTTATCGCCTGAGATTAAAGCAAGTTAGAACTAGCTTAACTGAGCAAAGAAATACAGCTGGATTGCTGGACACTGTAACAGGAAAAAAAACAAGAGACAAAAGCCTCACTAGTCAAGGACTTTATTTTTTTAAGTCTGTGCTACCAAAATACTCAATTTGAAAACTGTATGACGACTACAGAATTTCACAGCATCTTAACTGCTACTCGGTCATGCTGCTCTATGATGACAGTGGCAAACAGAACCATAAAATACCTGCCCTTCCAACAGCAATTGATGAGGAACTGCCCTAACACTCATAAAATTTATCTGCTCACCTCCAAAGAGCTTCCAAATGTCTTTGTTGACTGCAATGTAGCATTACAGTGGAAGTACGCAACACGGAATTGCACAAGCACCATGCAAAACAATGTCTATTACAACCATTATCCTTGCTGCTAAGTGGTTTTTCCTAATGTTTTTCTCAAGATGAGTATCCATAAAGTCTTGAAAGGGAAAACATATACTGTCTTTCAAGTGATGTGGAAACTAAAAGAAGTTTTGATGTCGTGAACAAAATTAATGTACGATTCTACTGGACAGTGTTATTGTGCATATTTTGCAAATGAAAAAAATTAATAAATAAAATTAGGGGATTAAAATCTATTGTTTTGTTTTCTTCCCTATCAGTTTCCTCTTAGGACTGTGATTTAGTCTGGCATTCTAAGCATGTTTACTTACTACATTCTCTAGACAGCATACAGATCTCCAGGAATTTGAATACTCTGCTGACATGATGCAAAGTATAATAAAACAGGATTTCAGCAGAATTCAACATGTTTGCCACTGCCTGCAAAGTCTACTTTTTAAATGATCTTTGGCAGCCTATCAAATGCTTTGAAAATTCAAATCCAGAGACCAGAAACTCTTCTTTATTTGAAATAGTAAATTATCTGTATTTGAATGTCATTATACAGAACTACAAGAAATTGTCCATATGGCTTAAACCTGTCCCTAAAGCAGCTAATAACAGGGAACCCTGCAAAGCATGTCCAACCAATCATCCTGTTTATCCATCTGGAAAGAAGAAAAAAGGGAACTTACACTGTACTATATGTGAGATTAGGAGGGCAGTGCTGGTATCATTGCATGTTAGCCTTCCCTGTGCCAGGTCCTGCTTCACTTGCAATGCAAATAGGTACCTGCAAAACAAAAGTGAAGAAGGAATTACACAAAGCAGGAGGGAAAGAGGGGACAGTATCCCAACTCTGGCTTTGAATACATGTTCCCTTCACGTTTTGGAATCTACAGAGGTGATCTGAATTACCTAAGTTTAGAGGGTAAATAAAACACAACAGATACTGTATTACTGTATTAATTATTACTGGAGCTGTACATGGTGGCTGCTTTGAAGAGCCAAGATATCTCTCCTTTTCTCTCTTCTTCCCTCCGTTTGGAACCAGAGCAACAAGATATGACAATGCTAGCAAACGTGACAGCTCTTAAGTACTCAGCAAGAGATAATGCAGCTGCTTCTAACCATGAAGATAAACCACTGATTTAGAGTTATCAGTTGGTTCCCTACAAAGGGAACTCTGAACTTCCACCTTGGCACTCACTTGGGAATGAGGCACAAAATCTTGATCTTGACCAAACAACTCTAGTTAGCTCTGATACCTTTGTGGCCCCAGTATCTGCGCTGTCCATGTACCAGCCCTATCTAATATTGCCCCCAAACCCTTTCAGCCATGCAGGGCAATTCTACACTGCCAGTTTAAATGCAGAGACAACAGAAGTCAAAGACATTATTTCAGCATCTGAATTTATTTTAGCTTCAACAGAAATTGTCTTAGTTCCACTCAGTATCCAATTCTAGAGCTACCAATGGGCATTTTTCCTACAGCTGGTATGAAACCTGAAGTGGAGAGACACGCCTTAACAAGCCTTCCAAAGACTGCAGCTCCTCTGGAAAAGGATCTCAATAATTTTAACAAGACTATAATATTTTAATAGGTTTAGAGAAAAGCTCTCATTTAAACAGTGAGTTTCTGAATGAGAAGATGTAGGTACACTAAATGAAAAGGGTAAGCTGATTTGAGGAGTATGGAAAAGTACTGTGTGTGTATACACTGAAATAATACAGCAGATCTACATAACATCCTTTTGAAACATGCAGACATCTGTCTACCCATACAAAATTCACCCTGGTAGAGGAATATACCACAAAAATGTTATAGTCTCTTCTTCAAGTGATGAAGCAGCTCCCCATGGATATGCTTTCACATCCTACACACTACTGTGTATATATATTCAGATCCCCTAGCATACATATTTAAAATCTAAACAGAAAAAGTCATTAGGATTAAGAGACACATCTTCAGGTACAGACAGAGATCACCAAAAATTAATTTTCACTTCACATACTAAGAAACAGATATGCAGATGTTTCATTAATAACATCACAACATCACATTGCAGGTTTTCATTCATCCCTCTGTTCTTTTTACTCTTTCTTTTATGTTTTAGTCTTTTCTAAGGAAATACTCCTTCTTCCTACCCCACATTTTCTCTTTCCAGGCCATCAAACAATATCAATAATTTATTTTTTTATACCAATGCTCTATTGCCAAAATAAAACATGACAAAAATAAACAGTGGAATATCACAACTGTAGACCAGAAAAGAGTGAAAAGCTGCAGTGAAGAAATACTGCAACATACTGACCATAAATGAAGGACCCGCTAGTGAGAAAGAACCTTAACAGGTCCCTCATACACAGATTTACTCAAGAAACAGGATTTTTTGTGCCAGTACAGTGTGAAATTCAAAGCTTCAATGAAGGTTTTGAAATGCACTGAAAAGCATTTAAACATTAGTTTTAAGGTACTGTGCATGTGTGTACCCTTCACTACATTCTTATTTGGCATTTCTCCATCTCCAAAGTCCCACTTCCACCTGTGCAAACCTCTAGCATTTGTGCTGGCTATACAGACAGGGTCCAATGCTGCTGCAAATCAGCAGCTCACACAACAGAGCCCTCTCCCACATGAGGGTGCAGAGTCACACTTGGCACCCCAGAGTGCCAGTACATGACTGCATCATGCCAAACAGAGAACTCTGTTGCCAAACTGACTTCTCTTGGGGTTAGTAAAACTCTCCCAGGACTCCAAGGATGAAAGGACTCCTGCACTTTGCAGAACCACTTAGAACAGACTGCAGCTGAATCTGAGAGCCTATTCTTTCATGTATATTCAATGCTGGGACAAATAGCACCAAGCTAAAAGTAAGGGGCAGTCATCAATCCTGACCCAGTCATCTCCAACTCCATGTTCTCCCCTCTGTCCATCAGAGATTTAACAAGAAGAAATAGTCATGCAGCTACTAACCTTGTCAGTTCCTCCTGCAGCTGAGCGTGGTCGGGTGGGAAGAATTTTACCACAAATTTTACAACAACGTGCTTCGGTCCTAGGGAAAATGTCAAAGGAAGTTAACAAACACCAATAACATGCTGGCCAAATATGCACAATGATGTACAAGGAATGATTCATGTAACCTGCAGTGCATACAGACATGCTAACCTCCTGTCCTTTGTTAGTATGCAGGATATTTGGAGATTGCCAAATAAAATTTACACACAATAAAAGAGAACACTAACTTGGTCAAGGGCTACTCTGACAAAAACAAGTATGTTTTCAGCAATTACATCAGTTGAGCCAATAAAATATATGTGAATCTACTTTCCTTGCTTCAGAACAGGAGGGAGCTAAAATTCACTCTACTTTTAAGTCCACTAGCAAATTACTATTTCTGTTTTAGGAATAGCACAAGTGTTCCAATTGTTACAAGTATGACCAGTGACAAAAGGACCAACACATCCCTGTCTTGCAAGAGGGAGAGCTGCCAGAGCATGCACTCATACTAATATGACCAGAAAAGCACCTAGAAAAACTGAATCTCAAGGGCAAAACTCCATAAATTAAGAACTTGGCTGATATTTGACAGAGAAACAAAATAATCAGAACCTCTCCTGTTCACTTCTACTCTTTCCAGAGCTGGTGGCAAGTTATAATTTCTTGTTCTTTCCTACCACCCCACTGTAGCTTCCCCTATCCCAACTGTTTCCTCCTCTTGGTCTCTGAAAATCCCAGGTTCTGCAACAATGTCCACACAGTTGTAATACACCTGCCAGCTCCTTCCCAGGAATAAAGTCCTCCTGTTCTTTTTCTTCTCTTCTGATTCCTGCCAGTCAGCAGTGTGCTCCTTTAGTCCTTTTACTGCCCTCTTTTCCTCTACAGAATTGTTGCCTCCACTGCCACCAGTGCCTCTTGCAGTGACTGACTAAGCCCCAGCCTCCCGTGGGATGGGGGCAGCTTGTTCACATGCTCATGTGACATAACTTCACAGGTATCTCTTGTAAGGACAGGCCAGAATTAAAGAGTAATTCCAACAACATTCAGTGCAGAAGGTTGAGAATATAAAGATTTCAACCGACAGAGTCCTAATTTATTCAAGGACTCTCAGACTGAGGAAAGAAATGTCAACAAGGAAGTACTTACTTCTAATCTGTTTCATAACAGGCTTCAAAAGATCCAGCCACACCTGAAAACAAAAGAAGGTGGTGTTATCATCTCTAAACAACCAACCAGAGGAGCATTTTTAATCGCAATACCTAGATTATCAGTTACCTATTTGTTTTTACCAGTGTAGTCATTATGCTTTCCTTAATTATACAGTGGTGGGTTTTCTCCCCAAAATTCTGGGAGATGCTCAGAAAACAGCACTGTGAATGGGCACAGCCTTTAAGGCAGTAGAGATTCAGAGAGCTGGGCAACAGCGAGGAGATCCCCCCCTCACTTGTCCCAGACACCAACAATCACAGCACACATGGTCAGGAACCATTAATTTTGTAGAAAGAACAACTGAAATGGAGAGTTTAGAAAAAGACAGTCCTGTATTGTCATTGAGTTCCAAACCATGGATAATCTTGAGAAAGGGAAGTGAATGGAGCTGGTGCCTTTGAGGCTGGGAATGCTGGACAAATGGAGAAATGAGATGGCAGCAGCCTACTCACGGAGTATGGGGGACCCAACAGGAATCCCAGTATGAGGTCTGGGCACAAATGTGGAGCTCTGCTGCTGGGCTCCATGGAGGTGAAGGAGCCTCCCTCCCACCACCTGCCAGAGGAGCGTCCTCTCAGAATCACGGGTGTGAAGCAGACAACAGGACAAGGAATGGATGGGAGAAAGCTTACTTTTGATCTATGGAACATCTTCTGTTTTCTATAAACCTGGGAAATTCAGGCCCAGACACTCTTAACTGGGGACAGCGTAACTTCTGCATGTAGTTGACTTGACAACCCATTTTCCAGGACAGTGTGCAGAAGGTAAAAGCCAGATGATTCACAGGGCCTGGAGACAGCTCATAGTTCTCAGCTGGTAACTACCCATGCCCATGATTCATATTTTGTTATCTCAATAAACTGCACAGGGCCTCCCTTGAAGACATCTGGAATTTGAGGAAGAACAGCCTACAACCATCACAAAGGTTAAAGCCATTAAAAAACAAATTAATAGAGTCTTCCTCTAGAAAAAGAGTATGTATTAAAATGATTACTTCTTTGACCTTTAATAATTTTAGAATATGCATAGATTGAAACATACTCAAAATATCCATATCCCAAAATCACCTGAGAAGCCAGACAGGAGCAGGCCCGTATTACTTCTGTAACTGCTCCAATGCCATGTGCCATTTTTATCATTACTAATATGAATGATTCCAATTAGCAGAGACCTCACAGCCCTGCCCTTTCCCACGCAGCAATGTTACTCACTAGAATTCTTATGTTTCTCAGTCTAGGAAAGTCTTTTTCTTTTGTTTCAGAGATTAAAGAAACTTGGTTATCCAGGAACAGCAATACAGTTTTTCTCACATACTAAACTGGTACAGACACACTTTGACACTTGAATAACTTAAAACTGTTTTGTTTCAGAAAGTTTGCAGGTACATAATCTGCAACAAAGGTCAGGGACTTCGCCAAGTTTAATGAGAGAGGGAAAAGACATCTTGAATATGAAATAGCCAATTTACAAGATTATGAGAATAATGTATTTTACTTGAGGCCAAGAAAACAAACAAACAACAAAACCACCACCACCAAAAAAACCCTCTCTCTTCTCCCCAGAGGTGGTTTGTGGTACAGCCTGAGCACACAAATGCACCATTCCTTTCTCAACTTTCCCAGCCATCCTACAAGCAAGTAATAACACACTTGAACAGACTGCTGGATACAGAAAATACATGAATGCGTGTAGTGAGAAAGATGGGGCAAAATGACAGTGTTACCACTATGGCCAAACCCTAGCAATCAAAACTTCTGCATCATGCAGCTCCCACACTGTACCTAAACACCATCAGTCTGAGACTGGTTTATAAACTGGAAAGGAAAACTAATGCAAGGACTTAATTAAGATTAATGTTTTTCATTTTCTCCAGAACTACACAGCTAGATTACTTATTTGCTAAACAAAGGCTGGCATTCCATGATGGTGACCAGATTTCAGCAGCTGGAGAATTGAGGCAGACATCAAGTGTGATGAAACTCTGTGAAACCCCAGGCTTGGCGACAGTGCCTCGTTTTTCTCCTTGTCCCAGCAGGAAGTGGAACACTCAGACCCTCCACAATCATCTCCCGTACAGATCTTGTCTGCTCCAAGCATGGCATGCTTGAATGTATACAGCTGCCAGGCAACTTGACATACCACTGTCAATATGTCAGATATGAGGTCTGGAGCCTTGCATGTTGAAATAAACACAGCCAAATTGTGAATATATGACTTCACATACATATGATTACATCCAAACAAATATGTTCTAAATATTTATTTTTTCCTTTTACATTGCTCTCTGCACTGGAAAAACAACTCATTCTCTTCAGATTATATGAATATAAAATATGCATGTGTGTTTTATTTCTCAGACATACCATTTACTCCAGGGTTTTTTACTTGCACAATGCTTGAGTTCTACATTATGGCCTTTATGAAGCTCAGAGAATTTTAAATCCCATGGGAACATTCACCTCAATTGCATCATATAAACTGGTTACAATAATTTAAGTGTAAATAATACTCTCAGAGTGCTGCTCCGCATTGAAACAACAATTCATAATCAAATCTTCTGCTTCAGAGTTTCTGTGAGTTGCTTTCGGGTGGTTGAAGGCATTAATTCCACTGAATTTCACCATTCTTAGGGGACAGCTGACTAGATACCAGCAAGGTTTGTGGAGCTCCCCATTTTTCAGAAGCAAAGACTGGACCAACCAGCAAGAACATGGACTGGTGCTCTCAGATATTTGGCTAGAACTTCCTTTTGCCAGAGTAGGAGCCAGCTAAGCTACCATGCTCAGTGCAGGGAAGCATTTTCCTTCAGGTCAAACTGGCACTGTGCTTAAGGGTTTTCTCCATCTTCCTCTTCATCAGAGCCCTGCATCCCCCACTGTGATTGTCTGGACATATTTCCAGCCAGTCAATTCCTGCCACTGAGGGCCTCAGGCAGTGGCAGCACCTCAATCTCTCCTGTGTTCTGCCTCAAGCAAATAAACCACTTTGTTTTCACAAGACTGAAAATTGTTGGTTTACTTCAGGTCTCTGAGCAAAACACAGACAGTCATCTATTTAAAACTTAATGACCTGTGAAGTAGAGAAGGTTGATCAAATGACCTTCTCTATTTTCTAGAAAACTAAAAAGCAAATGTATATTCAGAAGATGTTAGGATTTGTTTCAGTTTTACATACATCCATCAATAATGCCAGAATGTCATTATTAACACAGCTACATGGACCCTCTGCTGCAATGGTACTGTACAGTTGCACTGCTTAGAAAAGTTACATTAAGCTCTCAAGTTACCTCAAGCATTAGCAAAGGGTATCGGGCAGAATGCTAATCCTTCTAATGAACTGTGTTTTATGCAATTCCAGCAGCACACTGTGAAGCAGATCCCTTCTAAAGACTGACATCCATTTAAAAAAAAAAATCCAGTTTAATTGTAGTTAGCTTAGAACACTATGACAGCATTCTGTTTTAATGTCTATTGTCTAATGTCTGTGAATGACAGAAAAGAGATTCCTACTATTAATTTCATTAAGAAATATTGTTCCTTATGCATATTTTAGCTAGATGGAAAGAACACAGATATTTTTTCTTTGTAACAACTGCCCAAAGTCAACTCTTTTAGGTCATCGAGGCTATTGGTGCAAAATTCACCAAACAGGCATGAAATCCAGCGTACATCAGAATGTACTGGCAAAGCAATCCAGGTAACTAGCACACATGCTAGTAGGTTACACAGTAAGTCTAAAATAAAACAAACTTCTAAAAGAAAGTCATTAAAGACTAAGAAGTCATTAGGCTATGACTTTCTCTGGTACATGATGTGGGCAGTGCAATGCCTGAATGTTGCCAGCAGCTCATCTCAGATTCCTGAGTAACAGGACCAGGACACCTGCCTGTGCCACATAGCTCCCCAGAAAGCCCCACAAAAATTGATGGGAGGTTCTTGGTTTACTTTTTATTCCTTTTTATTAACCTTGTAATATTTCATCCATCCCTTTTCTCGCCCCATGTTTTTCATTAACTCTGTCACAATCATTGCAGCTCCTCTATCAGCAGAGAAAGTTTATTTCTGCACTCCAAATCAAACAGGACTATAAAATCGAGAGCTGAGATTCTGTAACAGTCCAGCCTTTGGCTTCTGTACAGCAACTTAGAAAAACAAAACACTTTCCCAACTTGTGTCTGAATTAGCCATTACTTTCAATGCAGATGAAATCTGACAGGAACAATCAGGCTTTAAAAACATTTCTTCAACTCCACTAGGCAAGAACAATTTATCTTTTTTTTTAAAAGTCCTTTTTCTTTTGAAGACTGAGGGTTAAATATATCTTCCAAGTAAGGAGCAGAAGGAGAGAAAACAGTGTGCATGCAGATGAAAAACAGCTGAAAATTAATCCTTCTACATACCATCATCTTTTTATGATCTGGAAATTCAAGGCCAAAATAGTCGCCTTCAACGAGGTTCAGGTGGTTGCAAACAGCATCATGCAAAACCTTCCCCGGAGCTCTTTGCTGTAAGAAGAAAACAAAGCCTAAGGTTACAAAGATGCTTTTAATTAGTGGCAGAAAAATTATTATGCTAAGAAATTATTCAACAAACAACACTGACAAAATTGTTTACAAAATCAGTGTGTATTACAACCATACCCACAAGGCAGTTGACAATAATTACACTAGTTTTAAAGCTAAAGACTATATCTATCCATCCATGGATGGCAGCTCTGAATCCATCTTTAGTGCATTTTTATTTTTTGAGGGAAAAGTACTGTGAAATAGAAGAGGAGGACATGGGATACAGTTTTCTTATGTCTATCAAGGCTAATTTCTGCTGTAAATTTTAATTTTATCCCACGGCCCTTCAAGCCATGTCAGGTGGTGCATGTACATTTGTGCACAACACATGAAACCAGGGCAGACCTGTCACACAAAACACCAAGGAATGAGGGTTTACTGGATGCTGCTTGATAGGCAGCAGGCTCAAACCCTAGGTTCTGACTTCGTGTGAGCTTATCCCAGGCTTTCTGCTGGGACTGAGGCTGCTCCAGGCCTGTCTGTGCTACCCTGGCAGAGCTGGCAAGTAATTTGGAGGAGTCAAACACTGAAAGCCTTCCCTCTATAAAGACCAGATGTTCTAGTCCAATATCAGCTCCCAGAACCACTGCTCTGCTGATTGTAAGGATTCTTTTCATCAGCCCATCTATTAAATCCACACCTGCAGAAAATACTACAAATTACAGTTCACCAGCAAGTCTTCTGCAAAAACCTGTCTCTGTAAAAAAAGGCCAATCACTGAAATCAAATATTTTTGTTCCTTGGACAAATGCACCTATTTTAATTCAAGAGGCTCTGAAACACAGGTCTAAACTCACTTCAGAACAAATAATAACCCATTAAATTGTACAAACCCTGCTGTTACAAGAGAACAATCACATCCTGGACTACCAGTCTTAGACCGGCCCCCTCCCTTTTAGCCCAGTAAATAATAGAGTCAAATGAAACAGTAGGAGCCAAGTGAAGAAAAGACAACCATTACAGGTGGGCAGACCAGCTCAGCCCAGGCCCTGGCATCTCCAGGCAGTGCCCATATCAACAGCCTGCTTGAGAGTGGGCAGCTGCTCAGTCCCTCCCAAAAACATCAGTATGCAGTCTGGTCCCTTTTCATTGCGATACCAAAAAATAAAGAAAGGCTTTTTCCACCTAGGGTAATACCCTAGTTAGAAAGAGCATCTTTCCAAAGGCAATTTATCTAACATTCTGTAATATGAACTGGGAAAAGTAAATGCCCAGTAGTCAGGCTTACACCAGAGAAATTAGAGCCTTCACATTTTTCTAGGGAAAGCACAGGATGCACGTGCCACCACAGCAGCACTGTCACCCTGGTCATGCAGGACACAATGACTGAACCCTTCAGTGCTGGTTGGCTTTGAAAGTCCAAAAGGAAGAGCCAAGCTCACTTCTCCAAGAGCTTGCTGAACAGGTTTTTACCCAACATATTCCCAGTGCTTCTGAGAGACCTAAGCCACCAGGAAGCAATATTCGGTAAAGCTATTAACTGTCTGCTAATATTTGTTGAAGCAAACATTAGCCTCATGAATACTGTCAAAAAACAAATAAAGAGCAATCGCTGTGAAAAGTACAGATTTTTTCAAGAATTCACCATAAACTTGCAGTAACTAAAGTAATTCATGGTAAAATGCCAAGAGGATTCAAAGAAGGAAGGGAAAAAAATACCTCTGTTCTTCTAGATAGAGCACTTATGATCTGACACAATGGCATCCAAAATAATTCTCAAGTGCAAGTATATTTGAACACACTCACATCATGTTCTCCAGCTTCATTAAACCAGAAAGAATTCCCAGTGTTCACCACCCAGGTGGTGCTGGTAGGGAGACGAAGAGGAAGAATGGGTTTATCAGTTATTCTCACAGCAAGAAGCTTTCCTACCTATGCACAACCACAGGAACACGCCAGTGAGCATGTATGTATGTCTAGCTAAAATATTTGATGGACTTCTGTCTGACAAAGACCAAACTTCATCTTTCCTCATCGGAAAAAAAAGTGTCTCTAAAAAAAAAACCCACCAGCCAACCCACCAACCAACTAGCCAACCAAAAAAACACCCCCAAAACCAAACCAAAACAAAAAAAGCAGTCTTGTAGTATTTATGTCACTTGGCATTTTCTCTGGAGTATGCCTCAATAAAATGAAATGCTTCTTACTCTACTATTTGTAAATATTATTATTCTAAACTCATCTTATCTTTGATCAGTCTATTTCAAAATAAAATCTGACAGTTCTCTCAAAGGAAATGCTGTGCATATAAAATCTGCTGAGATTTAGAGCCTGATGAAACTCCGGTCTTGCAGGAGCAGAAGGAGAAGTACAACATCCACAAAAGCAGAAACTCACGAGGTTTCAGAGAGATCTTGATTTAGTGCAGTTCCATGACATCCCTACTAAAAAATTTAAACACAATAAATTAAAAGCTCAGTCTAGTGGGTATGGAAGCAAACCAGGAGTCATTCAGGGCGCAGTAAACATGAGCTGACAGAGGGAGCATTCAGGAATGAGTGCACCACACCAATGACATCATCTGAAGTCAACAGTTGTGCCTGACTTAAGCGTGGTTACGAGTCCTATAAGAAAATACAAGTTTTCCACTGAACTTGGAAGGCATTTTCCAACCATGAAGCATGGCCCCACTGCCATGCCTCAGGCAGCAAGTTCTATGCAAGCTTCACTGGTCCCTGTTCCACAGCCCTCTGGCAGCATCTGCGTAAGCCAGAGCTTGGCTGCTTTCCCTGCTCCATGCCAGCACCAGTCTGCTCCATGGGGCATGCTGACATGGAAGCACGGAAGCAATGAAGCCTGGTGGCAAGACTATACCTCAACTTGAAGTTTATTACGTCCAGGTGCTGAGTCCTGCATTTTGGCCACAAAAATCCCCTGCAATGTTATAGGCTGGGGATGGTGTGGCTGGACAGTGTCCAGGTGGAAAGGGACCTGGGGCCAGCTGAACATGAGCCAGCAGTGTGCCATGGTGGAAGGCCAATGGCAGCCTGGCCTGGATCAGGAATAGTGTGGTCAGCAGGAGCAGGGAGGTCATTCTCCCCCTGTACTGGGCACTGGTGAGGCCACACCTGGAGTGGTGTGTCCAGTTCTGGGTCCCTCAGCTCAGGAAGGATGTTGAGACACTGGAGTGCATTGAGGAGGGCAATGAGGCTGGTGAGGGGCTCGGAACACAAGACCTGCGAGGAACGGCTGAGGGAGCTGGGGTTGTTCAGCCTGGAGAAAAGGAGACTCAGAGGTGACCTTACCACTACAATTTCCTGAGAGGCTGTGGTCGGGTGGGAGTCGGTCTCTTTCTCCAGGCAGCAGCTGACAGAACGAGAGGATGCAGTCTCAAGCTGCACCAAGGGAAATATAGGCTGGATATTAGGGGAAAGTTTTTCATGGAAAGAATAATTAAGTACTGGAATGGTCTGTCTGGGGAGGAGGTGGAGTCACCATCCCTGGATGTGTTTAAAAGAAAGACTGAATGTGGCACTCGGTGCCATAGTCCAGTTGTGTTATGGCATGAGCTAGATTTGATCTTGGAGGTCTCTTCCAACCTGGTCATTCTGTGGATTCTGTTGAGTTCTGCTGAATTCTGTAGCTGCCACAGACACTACCACCCTGTGAGGCAGCAAGGGAAAGGAAACAGGAGGGCATGGTACACCGATGGAATACAGCTGAGGGAGGGTCACATGCAACCCCAGGAGCTGGGAAGTACCTGCAGCAGGTGGCAGTCCCCTGCTCCTGCTTCTGTTGACAGCCAGATTCCTGTACAATCAGTGAAAAAATACTGCAGCTCCAGGGAACAACTCTCCCCACCCTAAACTAGCCATCTGAACACTCTGACAGGGAACTTCTCCTGAGAAATACAGGTTTATCTTTCACCCTGACAACAAGGAGCCCTGACATCTGTTTTAATGATTTCAGATGAGGGGAGCCCCAGTCAGACTGATACACCAGAGAATTGCTATTTTTCTCTTGATGTGGTATTTACTTACACCAAAATAATATTATAAATTTATTACAATGAAAAGAAACTCAGTGACTTCCAGCTACACATCCTTATTCCTTAATGCATTTTGAACCAGTCTTTCATTTAGCTCTGTGAAATCACATTTTAAAAGTCGCTTTACATTTTCAGGGAACGTCAAGTTCTAAATTATGAATAATGTGCATCACCACATTTAGCTGCAAGCTATGAAGGTACCCAGTCAAACTAGCCTGCTTTACGCATTATATATTCAATATTTTGCTGTCTGCTCATTATCTCAGTCCTACTCAATTCAGCCTCACTCTACTCCCACCAAAATCCAAAACAGTATGTTGCTTATGATCTTCCAATGGTGAATATTTTAATAGGTTCAACAATTCTTTAATGTTCTAGCAAATGCCAATCATTTTTAAAAAAATATCCCTCTACATAGTTGTTTATACACTCTTTGACACATACTGCAATACTTTTTGGGTTTTTTTTTAAAAAAAGAAAGAAAGTTCATGGCTATATCTAGAAGATATCCAGACCTTTAAAAGAAGCAGGTTTGGACAGATTACACCACCTCCCACAGTTAATTCAGCAATTATTTCACTATGTACCAAAAAATAAGTAGATATGTTTATGATCAAATAGAAGTTTTACCATTTTTTATCTGTTCAGCCAAATAATCTCTGATACTAGCTTGAAACAAGATTTTTGATTGAAAGGTTTTTCTTTGTTTGTTTTTACATTACTGAACAGTAATACCAGCTTAAAAGAACCAAACACTTTATTCTGAACACTGAAAAATGTAAGTCTCATCTTTGGTTGAAGTAAGAAATAGTTTCACATGGAAACACAGACTACTCTGTTCTCCTTCTCTTCTTCAAAACTGCTGCAAATGGGTCAGAAGGAAGTTTGGGTTCTTTTGGGTTTTAATTACTCTTGCTTGTACAGTAGTAGCAGCTCATAGGAGAGAAAATAA